TTACTCTTTGATGTCGGTGACGCGTGCTGCGTGAAGCGATGACGTAACGATGATAAGGCGCGTGTGAGAACGCTCCCAACTAGTACTTGTGTTTCTCTGGGATGATTATAACGTTAATCAATCAAGGATGCTAAACGATATGTTACTCTTTTTTTATCGTCGACGTAATCATGTCATCGTTATCGTCGGCGTCTTCGTTGTTTTGAATACAATGACCGGGAGTCTTTCTCTATTTTGCCTGAGGTCGTAGGTCGCAGGTCTGTTACGCGCGGAGAATCTAGTCCATAAATTAGCCATTTTGATTGTCGCGCACGTATGTATACACGTCAGTAGACGAACACAAGGGGCATATGATAATCTAATCGCCACGGCCTTGACACGAGGATCAATCGTGACGCGATCGTGTCACGATGTAAATCGAATTCCATCTTTCCGGCAGGCCTGCCGGAGAACCCATTCATTTCCGGTCGAACAAACTTCCGCTGAATTAACATCCTGACGTTTTTCCTGAACGGTCGAAGGTCAGTATCTCTATTTTTCTGATTTCGAACAAATTGATTTTATCTTCCCTTTTTATTGAAGGCTTTTTTTTTTTTAAGGAATATTAATTCCCTCTTTACTCTTTATATTTCTCTCACGCTATTTATTTATTATCTTCAATAGAAGCTAATTTTCTTCGTTGTTTCAATCAAAAGATAGAATTATTGTTATGAATACATAAACTATCGGATATTATTTTATACGATTACGAGAAATTAAATTTTTGAAACAAGGAGAATTAACACTTTGTCAAATACTTTATATGTCTAATAAAATTTTTGTAAGGCGAATTAATTTTTAAATAGAACAACTATTAAAAAAAGTGAAAAATTGTGATTTAGGCAAATTGTTATTTTGTCCAATATCTTATTAGCTTTTATATTATTATTTTGAAAAAGAAATAGTATCCAGTTAATGTTAGGTAAATGAAAAAAGAGTTGAGAGGCGAAATGTTTCGAATGAAAAAAGAACTTTTTTTAAGATTCGCCTGGAGCGATATTCTCAAAAATTGTTTAAGCTTCTGATATAAGTTTCTTAAATTGAGATTTATTTGGAACCATCCACGTGAATACTGTATTATTTCTAACAAGATAAGAAGTTCTTAAAATAAATTATCTCTCGAATTATTTACACGTTCTCTCCTTGAGTAGTTTCTCCTTGATAACTAAAGAACAATCAGGAGAAGACGATCTTTATCCGATGAGAAAATTTTTCTCAGAAATTAAAAATCATATAAATATCCACATTTGACAGTTTCTATTGCTCTTTTAATTTCGAGATCTTCATTTGATTTTGATACTCGAGACCACCGCGCATCACTCTCGCGCACGAGGGAAGGTCGTTCTTCTCGAGGTCTAAACGGCAGTTTCTCGTCCTCGCGCGCCTGTCCGTTTATTTCGGTAGCTTTTTCACACGGAGCGTATCGGCTCCAATTTCGTTTCCCGCTCGTGGCCACGCGTGACTTCACTCGCGTGCATAAATCACGTGCTCCCTGGCGGTCACGACGTGACGCCCACACTCGCGTGCCGAGAAGAAAAAAAAGAGGCGTCCGCAAATTTCCGCCTCGCGGACCCACGGTCCGTGTCGAACATCAAACGGCGCGGCCTCGCTCGGGAAGTCGCGATCAGTGCCGGAATTGTTCGTGTTTCGTTCTTGCGACGAGCGAAATCTCCGGGGACGTATCTCGCACGACCAGGCGTCGCACGACGCTTTTAGTCTCTTCACTTAAGCTTGGCTTTGTATGCCAGACGCAGAACGTTTCTTCATTAGAGACATTTGTTCGTTGGGTTTTTATCAAGGAGAGGTTTGGTTCTAATTGATCGAAGGATCCGTCCTAAAAATCTGATTAATGTTATAAACAAATCATTCTGCATGAATAAAAGATTTGATTTGCGGGAGTTCAATGTTGCTTTTTTTCTTTGCTATTAAAGATGTAACATTGAGAATATAAATTGAATCAAATAAGTAATCGATATGACGAGTGGGTCAGATATAAAATGAAATTTTAACGCAAAGGTTTGTTCTTATTAAATACTTTTTTAACTATCTGAAATTATCTCAAAAATTAAATTTCGTTTCCTGCTTTGAATTTTTCATTTTTATAAAAAGTGTATTAATACGTACATAATTTATATTCGAAAGGAATTAATTTGTAGGTCGATCAGAATAATCTTATTCTATTTTTAACTATTTTCGATGAGATTTATGTGATAAATAAATATTTATTTGAAACGTTATCTAGAAATCTAGAATTTGCTTAAAAACTAGTCGGATCGAAGAGCATACACCGAACATCGAAAGTTGCTCTTTCAGATTTCTGAAATATTCAGCACATAGAATTTTATATATTGCCGTTAAGAAGGCTATAGAATTTCGCCGGATCATCGCGACAGATTCTGCTATGAGTATCCATTAAGATGATCCGCTGCATCCAAGAGCCGCAAAGTTTTTCGGTAGTTTGTAAGAATTTCACGAGATTTTGTTGGATTCCGTTCTTGTTCTGGAAGTAACATCTCATAAAAGTAGGTGACGATATAAAATTGTAAAATAAAAAGAAGAAAGAATGGTAATTTCTGGTAAAGTTTGTTAAAGAACTGTCTTGGCAGAGACTTATATCTCGAAGAGATATGGCGGGGAATTTTATTTTGAATATAAAGTAGCCGTTTCAGAACTAGGATTATGTGATAATCGCGTAATTAATTCTGCGTCGCGGTCATTTACAAGATAAATTACGAGTTGTTATTACATCTAGAAACGCGTAATTAACTCATTTCGCGCACGAGCGCTTTTGTCCCTTTTGGCAGTGCCGATACATGCGTTTTTCTCGCCGTATAAATATAGATATATATATATTTACACGTATATATTACACGTATTAATACCGCACGTGCATAACTGCGAGTTATGTAGGCTAAACCCGGCACACTTGATACACGGTTTGAGAAAGTGAACGTTTAGGCGAGACCTTTCATCAGAGAATACGCCGGGGGAGTATGTTGGCGTTCGTGCGGTATGAAAGTATAATTAGTTTGTAATTCTGTGTAACGAACTGCGCACTGTCGAAAGGGTAATTGCGGGCGATTACAAATTTAACGCGAGGATTCGTCTCGCGACGCGCTCCGTTCGCTCGATTGCGTAAACTCGTAATCGCGAATATCATTGTGATAGAGGCCGTGTTTTGCGCGAAATACGATGTTTGCCCGAGGCATTATTCCGGGGCTCGAATAATACTTCGCTGCTCGCGTACGGGGATAAAAATAATGAACGTTAAAAATAACGTATTCTCACGGATATGCGCCGTTAATCTCGCAATACGAAGCGTACAATTGGGTTGAAATTCGTTGATACTTTTTATCGCGACGGCTGATCCGCGGAAGGCAACGTACCTTGGTCCTTGAATTGAAAATAGTGTTCGCCAAATAGTCTTCGGCAAACCGACTGCGTGCCACGCATGGAAACTTTCGTTTTAATCTCTGCGACTAGAGTATGCCTATGAGAATAATAGAGTAATAGAATTCGCCATTAGGATGTTACTTTCACGATTGCACAAGTGAAATATTACGAAAGGTTTTCACGCGATTATTAATTAGAGACCGTTAGAAATTACATTTATCTTGCGATCTTCTCATTTCTTTATATTTATACGCGCGAAA